TAGTCCAACCCCCAGCCCAAGCAGGAGACCTTACACCATTTCTGACCGATGGCAGTCCGGTCTCTTCTTGAAAGCTTCCAGGGATGAAGCTCCCACAACTTCTGAAGGCAACTTCTGTTCCACTGGTGGAGTGTTCTGTCAGAAAATTCCTCCTTATTTCCAGGTTGAATCTCTCCTTGTTCAGTTTCCATCCATTATTCCTTGTCTGGCCTTCGGGTGCCTTGGAAAATAGCTTGACCCCCCTTCCTCCTCTCTGTGACAGCCCCTCAAATATTGGAAGACTGCTCTCATGTCTCCCTTGGTCCTTCTCTTCACTAGACTAGCCCGGCCCAGTTCCTGCAACCGTTCTTCATATGTTTTAGCCTCCAATCATCCCCTAATCATCCTGGTTGCTCTTCTCTGCACTTTTTCTAGAGTCTCAATATCGTGTTTACAGTGTGGTGACCAAAATTGGATGCACCGCTCTAGCTGTGATCTTACTAAGGGTTTATAGAATTGGAGAGGAAGAGAAGAAAGACCAGGGAAGACGTGATGGCAGTGTTCCAGTATCTCAGGGGTTGCCACAAAGAAGAGGGGAGGGGGGGTCCACCTATCCTCCAAAGAACCTGAAGCGAGGACAAGAAGCAAAGGATGGAAACTGATCAAGGAAAGAAGCAACCTGGAACCAAGGAAGAATTTCATGTCAGTGCAGACAATTAGCCAATGGAAACGGTTTGCCTCCAGAATTAGTGGGTGGTCCATCGCTGGAGGTTTTCAAGATGAGACTGGATGGCCATTTATTTGGGAGGGTAGAGGGTCTCCGGCTTGAGCGAGTGACTTGGACTAGAAGAGCTCCAAGGTCCCTTATTCTTATTCCAATCAGCAAAGATCATAACCCTCCTCAAACAGAACATGAGAATGGAGCACTCGGCCATGGAGGATTCGGATCCCAAGTTCAGAGAAGGACCAGGAAGACAATCTTGGACCATTTTTTGTGTGTGAGACCTTGCGCTGGAAAGGCACACACAACTCACACAGTACTGGTTCACAAGTCACATAGTACTAGTACACAAATGCAGCAATATTCTGATCTGGCATGCCATTCGTTGCCTGGGGGGTTTATGGGCCGAGCTGCATGTAAGCTCCAAAGTCTTAACCGCTGTCTCTGTCTTAAATTCAGAGGTTGTTTTAAGGGTCAAGGGATGTCCAACCTTGGCAACTTTAAGACTTCATAAATACATGTCCTGTTCTGACCAAGGCTTCCCAAGACCGTAATTAAGCACACGCTTAGTTAAAACAACTCTTGTTTTATTTCAACGCTGGGAATTATGTTTATTCCCAGCCTGTAATGAGTCCCAAACAGCCCCTCGAGATAAGCACCCACCTTTCTCTCCTTTGAATTGCTGCCAACAGCTAGAGAGCCAAATGAATTATAAAAAACCAACCGAAGTACAAAGTCCACACAGAGCTTCAAGGATTAATCCAAACAGAATGAACAACTTTGTTTCCTGCAAAGGTTTCCCTACCTTTGCCTGTCCTTTATCCCTTATGGGAGGGGCAATCACCTCCAAGCCTTACTCCCGAGTCACCCCTTTTGTCTCAGCTGCTCTTGCCTTCTAGCAACTCTGCGCACACACGCACTGAGAACAGACTCCCCTTGTTCCTCTGCCTCGCTGCTGCCAGACTCTGGAGGCTCCAGAGTCAGCACCCCACTCCCAGATGGTCCTGGCCCCATCTCTGCATCGGATGCAGGACCCTCGTCCGAGTTCTCTACAGAATCCCGGACTGATCCCTGTTCTTCCCCCACTGTCCAATTCCGCTGCTGTCTGCTTAGGCTGCCAGTGAATCACAACATGTCCATTATCCAACAAAAATTTAAAAAAATGCAATATATAAAAATTATAATTAAAAAATAATTATTTAAAATGAAAACAAGAAACAAACTCAAAGGGCAGATTTGATGCACCACTTTTTTCTGCAGTCGGTTTTCTATCTTTCGATGACAAAGTTTGAGTAGTTCCACCTCTGTGATTTTTCACTGCAAATTCTGAGCAACTCCCCCCCCCCCCCAAGTTATCCTGTTCCTAGGCCCAGCTATGCTTTTTCCAAAGGGGAAAAGCTTTCCAAGAATCTGGTTAACCGACTTGACAGTTAATTGATGGCAACAAAACGTCTGCCTCTTCAAAAGCGGAATTAAGGCCAGCTTAATTCCACAGAAGCTGGGAAAAGTCACGGCTCAGATGATAAATCCACCTGCCAGCCGGTGAGAGTTTAGCGGGGGCTGCCTGGATTTTCCGCCCTTCTTGTCTGAGAGGCTGGTTTGGAAGAGGGGAAGAGGATTCCAGCTCAGACATCCCAATGCTCAAGCCAGGAAATTGGAGCTCAGAGCCACCAGGGAGACGGGCTGCCTTCTAGGCTACTGTGGGAATCTTGCCAGGGCCAAGCGGAACCACCAATTCATCTCCATTAAAGGATGAGGGAAGTGTCCAATTAGGGAAGGAGGGCAAATATCCATCTCTCTCTCTCTCTCTCTCTCTCTCTCTCCCTCCCTCCCCCTCTCCTATCTATCTATTAATCATCTATCCATCCATCTATCTATCATCTCTGTCGATCATCTATCATCTATCTATCATCTAACTATCATCTATCATCTATCCATCTCCATCTATCATCTTCTATCTATCATCTATCATCTATCTCCATCTATCATCTTCTATCTATCATCTATCATCTATCATCTATTTATCATCTATCATCTATCCTTCTCTATCTATCTATCTATCTATCTATCTATCTATCTATCTATCTATCCATCTCCATCTATCATCTATCCATCTCCATCCATCTATTATCTATCTATCTATCTATCTATCTATCTATCTATCTATCTATCTATCTATTCTCTCTCTCTCTCTCTCTCTTTTTCTCTTCTCTCTCTCTCTCTCTCTCTCTCTCTCTCTCTCTCTCTCTCTCTCTCTATCCATCTCCATCCATCTATCTATCATCTATCTATTCATCTCCATCTATCTATCATCTATCCATTTCCATCTCCATCTCCATCTCCCTCCCTCCCCCCTCTCTATCATCCATCATCTATCCATCTCTATCTATCATCTATTATCTATCAATCAATCTATCCATCTCTATCCATCCATCCATCCATCATCTATCATCTATCCATCCATCCATCTAGCTAGCCAGATATCATCAAATTTTTTGTATACCACATAATAAAATAAAAAAAAAACACATTCCCAAACTATTCTCAACAAAGGCAGCCCACAACCTTTATAAAACTATCTTTTGATTCCCGCAGAAGCATGAATTTTGCCATACTTTTACCAACTCAACTTAACTCAACAATCAACAATCACGTAGCCAAAATATAAAATCTAGTACTTTTTAAGCAGACTTTCAGCATATATTTTGAAATTGTACCCATTTTCAGCTGAGGAGGGTTGCTCCACAGCTTCTCACCTTCATTAGAGGGAAATTTGACAGAGACAAATGCAACGTAGACGGCTGATGAAATGGAGAGGACTAACCCACCACAGCCCCTTGCAGACCCTGGAATGGTAGGCCCCAACCAAGCCTTTGGCCTGCATCAACTCAAGAAGAGCTTCCAAGTCATGGGAGCGAACTATGCTCTGGGTTGATGTTGGTTTTCTCAAACCACATGAGAAAAAAACAAAACCCAATTCCGGACATCATAGTTTGAGGGAGATTAAGACCGAAGCAGGTTCTGGAACCCTGAAACCAGGCAAGGACAAAATCTGACGAAAAGAGTTGGAGGGAACCGAGTGCACGTAAAATGGAGACAGGGACGATGAGGATGGCCGTGATTGTGTGACTTGAAGGACCTGACCGAAAATGCCAGGAACCCCTTGGAGCTGTTTCAAGCATCTGCCAGGGACATTTACAGGGCATTGAGGTAGGGTCTCCTCTCAGGGGTCCCAAACAAAGACTCCCGTTTTTTGGGTCTTAGTCCTGTCCTCTGGAGCTTCCGTCCAAATACAGGAGGAAGGTTTCTTCCATTGCGTGAAAACGGCAGGCTTTTCCAGCATGCGCGCCCCCTCTTCGCTCCCTCCAAGGCAGGGATGGTGCCCCTCTGGTTTTGGTCGAGAAGGGGAAGGCGGGAGACGGAGGAAAGGGAAAAGAGAAGGGAGCCGACCCACTTGGGGGGCCCCTCCCCATAGCCGATGGGTCCCACTCAGCATGCACACCCATGTCGGCCTTCGAAAGCGGTGGCACTGCATCATCGTGGCAGCCGGGACAAAGCGGGGTGTCTTTCATTGACAAAGATGGTTTAAATGAGAGAAAGGGCATCAGTCATTGCATCTCGGCTTCATTCAAGGCTTTCTCTCCTGCGCTGCCAAGAGGTGGCCCCTCTGCCTGGGACGCCCCACACGCAGACTGGCACAGCCCGCCTCCCCCCCCCCCCCCCCAAAGGGCTCGGCTGCTCCCATAGGAGCCTGCCAACCCCGAAGGCTGCCCACTCCCCACACCCCAACGGCCAACGTGTCCCTCCTGTCCACGGGTGGGGGCGTTCCTTCATGGAAGAGACCCTTTATGGGGGAGCCTGGGGGGGGGGAAGGCGTGCAAGGGATACCAGTCCTCCCACCCCTTTCTCACACACGCAACCGGAGGTGAAGGCTTCTCCCAAGCCACCTGGGTAGACGGAAGCCAAAGGGAGGAGGCCAACGGGCGTCTTCTGCCACCAGGTGGTGGAGCCACCACAACTCAGCGCATCCCGCCCGGGATCACCGGCCCTGGTGGACAAGCAGGCCTTCTGTCCTTGGCCTTCTGTCCTTGGCACAAGAAAGCCAAACTGAGCGCTGAGAAATGGTGGCCACCGACTTGAAGGCTATTGAGAGGATCATGGCGGAGAGGAAGACGGGGTTCCCCTGGCCTGGCGCTCCAACCCTGCCCCACCTCCTCCTCCTCCTTCCTCCCTGAAGACCTGACGGTCTTTAGTCACACATCTTAAAAGAAGCACAAAATGGAGCCGCACAAAGACCTACTTGTCTCAAGTCGATGAAGGCCAGAAGCAGCGTGTCCCCTTGGAACCCAGGCACCGGCCCGGATCTGGCAAACTCTGTGGGAAAGAAGAAGCGATGAAAAGCACTTTTAACTCACCATGGACAGGGAGATTGGCAGACGGATGACAGCGGAGACAACAGCGGCTGGTGGGGAGGGGAGCCCCACTTCTAAGGAGTCAGGTCCCCCTCCCTGCCCGCTTTTTGTCCACCCTTCAAAATTCGTGTCATCAAAACGCCATTAATTCCCCCGTCCTGACAGCAAGGAAACTGTACTAATTTGACCTGAAATTTATTCCCATGAGCCTCGCTGAGCTTCGGAGTTATTTGTTTTGTGAACGGACAAACAATTTGCAAAAGAAGAAAAAGCATGGGGGAGATGGGGAGGGGGGGCCTCCGATGGAGAAAAAAAACAAAACAAAAAAAAAACCTTTTCCTCTCGACACAATAAAATCTTCAGCTGTGAAATCCTTTTCAGTTCCGAAAGCTATTTATATTTGGGGGGCACTCAAGGAATTTTCTAATTTCATGCCTGTCACCGTGATCCAGGCCCATTTGTCAAAAATAAATAAACCACGCCGCTCCATTAATTACGCTGCCGCAGAAGAATGTCTCAGAGCTGATATGACATCCTTAGACAAAGAACAAAAAAGGCGAAGAGCTTCCCTCCTTGTGGAGAATATCAATTATTTTGAAGGGGGCCAGTTTAGCAACGGCTGAGAAGAATGAGCATGGAGGAAAGAGGGTCTCCAGGGGAAGAGAGGGGCTGGCCTCTGGGGGAATCTCTGCCTAAACCAGATAGCTGGGGTTTAGTTGTGCAAGCCAGGTTTCCCCATCCTATGCTGACCAGGAACTAGACGGGTTAGAGTAAGCCAGAAACGTCTGAACTACTTGTTTAGGGAGACCAGGATTTGGGTATGACTACTGTGGAGAGGTGAAGGACTAACGCAGTGGTCCCCAACAACCGGGCCCCGGACCGGTACCAGTCCGTGGATCATTTTGTACCGGGCCGCCTATTTTGCTTGGGCGCCGCCATCTTGTTTCAACGGCGCTTGAGAAAGTGCTTCCGGGTGAGCTTGTCGGTTATCGGTTGGAAAGCGGCGTTTGGGTGCTGAAGGAATCCTCGCGTCTTAGTTTCGTCGAAGGGGGGGGCGGCTTCGAACGAAGAGCCGTCCCGATGGCGGTGGAGTCTCGCGTTACTCAGGAGGAGATTAAGAAAGAGCCCGAAAAGCCCATCGACCACGAGAAGGTACAAAGGAGGAATTGAAGGTGACGGGGAGAAGCGGGGGACGGCTGGCTGGCCGGTCACTCGGCTCGCCTTGCCTTGGTCGTGAGTGCTGATGCCGGTACCGGTACGTGGATCGGTCCGTGGATTGTACCGGTCCGTGGTACAAAAAAGGTTGGGGACCACTGGAGTAACGGAGACATCATAGCAGTATTCCAGTATTTGAGTGGCTGCCCCAAAGAAGAGGGAGTCAAGCTATTCTCCAAAGCACCATAAGGCAAGGCAAGAAGCAACGGATGGAAACTAATCAAGGACAGAAGCAACCTGGAATTAAGGAGAAACTTCCTAACAATGAGGACTATTAACCAGTGGAACAGACGGCCTTCAGAAGTTGTGGGTGCTTCATCAGAGTTTTTAAGAAGAGACTGGACAGTCACTTATCTGAAACGGCATAGGGTCTGCTGATCAAGCAGGGGGTTGGACTAGAAGACCTCCAAGGTGCCTCCCAGCTCTCTTCTGACACAACTAGAATCTATGGAGCACGTTGGGAGAAAAGCTGGTTGAAGCCCAGCAACACAGAGAAGTGGAAGATGGGAGCCAAGGTCTTCCAGGACTGGCCTGCTGTGAGAAAATGCCGCCATCTTCGTCTATCTCATTTCATCCGGAATCTCTTTATTCCGGAGATGCTCTCCGGTTGGCAAACAGGCCATCGGGGAAGGCGCTCGTTTTACTGGCCAAATGAGCTTCTGGCCGTGTGAGTCTCCAGCATCCTCAAGCCAAGAGGCTGAAGAAATGCGCAAAGCAGTAGTCAAGAGTTGCCTCACTTTAAATGACCCCGCGTGTCCTAGAGGCCAACTGGGCAAGGCAACTTTGTAAGAAAGGCCAATAGGACATGGAAGAGCAGATAAAGAGTTCACCTTTCCGGCATCCCCCTCAAGGTCTCACAACAGTGGGCCCTTCACGACAGAAGATACATTTGTGGAGCCCACCTTGACTTGTTCAGCTACTCATTGGAAACCAGCCACTGTGAATGTTCCATTATGGACGCTTAAACTCCAGTCAAACTTTAGGTAAACGTAAAGATTCCCCTCGCAACTACGCGCTAGTTGGTTCCAGATCTAGGGGGCAGTGCTCATCTCCATTACAAAGCCGAAGAGCCAGCTGTCCGAAGACATCTCTGTGGTCATGTGGCCAGCATGACTAAACGCCGAAGGCGCACGGAACGCTGTTACCTTCCCACCAAAGGGGTCCCTGTTTTTCTACTTGCATTTTTTTTTAAACGTGCTTTCGAACTGCCAGGTTGGGAGAAGCTGGGACAAGTGATGGGAGCGCACTCCGTTACATGGCGCTAGGGATTCGAACCACCGACCTTTCCGATCGACAAGCTCAGCATCTTAGCCACTGAGTCGGCGCGTCTCTTCGTCAACGTTTAACGGAAGACTAACGTTATTGATTTGGCTGTCCAACTCTCTTCCTCCTAAAGGAACTTCAAGGGATGCTGCAGGCCCACGTTCCCGTCCCACCTTAAGACACGAGGACAGCTGGGTTACCTTGACCCAGGTACCTTCTCTCAGCCCTAGGAAGAAGACAGCAGGGGCAAAAACGGTCCCAAAATGGCGGGGACAAGTCCAGGCAGCCACGCGGGGTCAACACCGATTCAAAGGCTCCCATCCCAAGCAAAAGCAGCAGACACACAGCCGGGGGGGTGGAGGGGATAGTGCAGCACCTCTGGAATAAGCCTTGCATGCAGTTCAACTCTCTAGAACCGAAGAAGCTTCTTAGATGAGAAGTGACATGTTTTCAAAGGGAAAGAAAAAAGAAAAACAACGAAAGCCTTTTGGAAAAAGCACCTTTGGGACAATGCAGCTAATTCAGAGTTCCATGGCAAACACTTGGGACAACTACTGGAACAGGAAATATTGGCCAGGCATTTCAGTAGCTCTGGGTTCCTCCCCCCAGCCCCCCCCCCCCCGTCTTTCCCCCATTAGCAGTCCCTGGGGCTCTGTGCTTCTAGCTAGGGTGACCAGTTGAACGGCCAGAGGGAAGCTCCCGCCAATTAAAGGCAGGGCAGGGCAAGGCCCCCTTGCCCATCTCAACGGGAGAAAGACCATTCTATCCTGCTTTGCAGACCTTTCCCATTTTATCAGCCAAATAAGACATGAAAGTACACCGGGTTTTGAGCTTTGCCCCTTGCCTAAGAAAAGGAAGAACTTGCCTGAGCCCTCCGCCCACCCAATTTGACCTGCAAAGAAGGCGAAAGACACCCCAAGAAATGTCTGTTGGCCACAGGCAGGATTTTGCTTTTGGCTTTCATGCTCATGGAGAAAAATCTACAGCGTATCAACCAAAGTACAGAATAACAGAGTTGGAAGGCCTCCTACTCCATCCCCCTTGCTCAAGGACCTCATTCATGCAAACGGTAGTCCAATCTCTACTCAAAAATCACCAGTGATGCAGCACCCATAATTCCTAGAGGCCAATCGTTCCACTGCTCGATTGTTCCCGCTGTCAGGAAATTCCTCCTTAATTCTAAGTTGGATCTCTCTTTAAAAAAATCTTAAGAATCTTGAACAATCTTTATAGAGGGTCCGTCGTGAGCTGTTCTTTCCAGGACAGCCAGATGTGCTGAGTGTCTGACCCTAAATCACTCTTGGCTGAACTTTCCCCAGACTGCTCTTTGGGTGGTGCTTTGATGACTTTCTCCGCGGCTTAATTGGGAGGTTATTCTTCTGGAACTGGGACTGTCCTCTTAGGGTTATAATTGGAGGAAAGTTTCTTGACTGTGGCAGGCAAAATAATATCACCATCCACCCGTCTTCAGATCATCCTTTACGTTCTAATGACTGATTAATGAAGATACTGCCCAAAGGGGCCAAAAGGTGCTTTTTTTTCAAAAAACAACTGGACTTTCTTGGGAGGTTTTTTTCCCCCTTGAAAGTTGTGGGAAGAAGCTTCTTGGATGAGAAGTGAAATGTTTTCAAGGCAAAAAACAAGAAGGCCCAGTTGCCTTCTGGGAAAAGCACCTTTGGGGCAACCATGACTTGGATGATCGAGAATCTCCATAGACGTATGTATGGTCCAAAGCTTAAATGCTGAGAATTGTTCAGAACAAGAATCTCGGTATTTAGCCTCATAACTGGAACGGTTCTAGCTAAGCCACAAAGTCTACCAAGTCTAGTGATCTTCCAGGCTACAGTTGGAATGATGATCAGTCCCAGAAACAAGCCAGGATTGCCTACCCTCCTCTTCCTTTTCCCTCTCCTTCCCTTCCTCCTCCCTCCTCCTTCTCCTTTGTCATACAGTATGCCTGTTCTTCTTCTTATATTTTTTTCCATTTAGTGTTCTGTGAGCCTCCCAGCCTCGCACAGCACCAAATGGAACAGAATAAATAAAAATACGATCCCACCTCCTCCTCCTCCTCCTCCTCCTGGAAAAACCATACAATTTATCTTAAGCAGGTCCGTCCAGGTTTATGCAATTAATTTATTTATATACTGATGTAATCTCCGTGGACTCCTGGCAGTTTACATCAGTTAAAAACAATAATAAACAAAATGGAAAACTCCAAAACTACCAAACATTCATCAGACAAGGAACAGATGGAACCACTCAGCACCCTCCAAATGCCTTTGGGTTCAGTCCAGCTTTTACTAGGGTCCAAAGGCCCTCTGGGTGGGCATCGGCCCAGCCTCAGAGGCAGCCAGTCCAAAGGCTGGGAGAGAGACCAGGTGCCTGCCTCTGCCGCCTTCGTCTCCTTGCAGTGGAGAACCTGGGTGCCTGGATTCTACCTGGAAAAGGCCTTCTGCAGGTCTGCAGGTTATCAGGCCATACAGG